ACGGCCTCGAGCATCAGTTGGTCGCAGAGCGGCAGCAGAACCGGCAGCAGAACCGGCATATATAGACGCGTACAGTGCCTTGCTAAAGGAGCGGGCCCGACGCGACAGATGGTGGAGCCAAGGGAGATCCAAGGTTGCCACACTCTGTTGGCAAGGAGGGCGCAAGAAGTGGAGCCGTTTGGAGGCAAACTTCGTTACGCCTCCCGAGCCCTTTCATTCCGGGAGCTAGACGGCGTTCAACGGCTCGGCGCGGAGTCCGTGGCATGCTCGGCCGGTGCGCGTACGGATTTCAAAGATTGTGCCGTGGTGCTAACTAGTTGATGTTATGCTGCGGCTACCGTATATCATATGTTGCGGATGATACTATTTACTGCATAGCCACACATTTATGGCCGCCGGACATGATGTGTATGCATCTCTGGAGGCGTGCTTGCAACTGCTGCTCCATGGGTCACGTACATTTTGACGCTCGATTCCTAAACAATAAATCATGTATCGGTATTTCGCAACAATAGAAACTAAAGGCAGAGGACTGTCGAGGACTAAACAAGAAACCTTGTCTCTAATGTCTCTAAACACTCATCTCCATCACGGAGAAACGGTGCTTCACATCATCTTAAAGGGGTGTGGAATTTGGCGCCATGTACTGCGCACGGTCTACGACACTGAAAATAGTGCAACGATATTTGCCGCTACGAAAATACAGCACCGGGTGCATGTACAGCAGATTGTAGTGCACAGCAGAGACAGCGAAACAAGCGTCGGACGGTCAACATAATTGAGGACAGCAGCAAGACGGCCTTGGTATCTTTGTTGAAGTACAGGCACGGCGGTTCATAAGGCAGAGATGCGTGTACAGCAGTACCGTCGTCTACAGCAGCAGTACATATTACGTCCAGCAGCAGTACGGCGGCAGTACTGCTGCGGCAGTACTGCTGTACGTACATTATACATGTATGCTGATAATGAACAATTTTCTTTGCAGGAAAGAAACAGCAGCAGCAGCAGCAGTATCTATGGGTACAAGAAGGCAGTACCAGTCACCACGGGGACAGTCAGTACGGCTAACAAGCCAGTACCAGGAGCTGCAACCTTGGCTGTGTCTACGCAGCAGTTGTAGCAGAAAAGGATATCTCACGTCGGGCACCGCCGCTGCTGCAGGCCCCTGTTGATGGCCGGCCACGTCACCACCATCCTCTTCCTCCAGACGAAGCTGGGTGTTGCGAGGACGCGCTCCACCATCACCCGCAGGCGCCTGACCACGCTTGTCTGTTGACCCTTTCTTAGACCACTCGCCGCTGCTTGTTGGTGGCGCTCTCCGGCCGGGTGCGAGCGACCCCGCCCCAGTTGTTTGTGCTCTCTATCGGTCTACTCCCCTTCCCATGGACGCGCCCGCGGCCTACGCTCGTATCTGATCTCCCATCGCCGTGTACCACACCACAAGCACCCTCTCTGCTTGTATGCATTGGTCTCCTGGTTGTCCTGTCTTGGCTCTGTAGCACTTCTATGGAGCGGAGTTCAAGTCAAGGTGCGAGTAACAGGTAGCCGAGAGCCGAGAGCCGAGAGGTTCGAGGGCGTCGCCGCGCCCCCTCGACCCCCTCGACTGCGATTGCGAACCAATCTGCCCCCCCAGTTCCACTGCTCATTGGCTTAGCATTATGGGAGCCTTATTGGAACACCCACACGGAGGCCGTATTGTTTTGGTTCTCGATGCAAAATACAGGCCTCTGATTGGTTTAGCCTTATGGGCATCAGGTAAGACCATAAGACCATGGGGGTGCGGGCCAAAGCACACCCACCGCACAACATGTTGAATATCTCGAAAACTAGATTTTTCTCAGCAAAACCCCAAAACCCCCAACTTTAGATCGACGATAGGGATCGTTTTCCACTGTTTATTTTGAAATCGGTCGGGTGGTTGTCGCGCTGTAAACGAATCAAGTTGATCCTCTACATTCAGTTATTCTCTGATATCTCCAGTAATTTCGAAAATTACAAAAAAAAAATCCCCAACCGCAGAATTCCGACATGTGTCCAAATCCGTTGAGTTTTTTGGCATCGGCAATAATGTGAAGACAACAACAACAACAACAACAATAAACACCACCCTGTGTAAACGAATCAAGTTTTAGAGGTGTTTCGGGGATAAAAAGTCAAGGAAAAAAAAAAAAAAACTCTTCGTCATGCCATGCGCCTGGAAACAGGGCGTTTGCCGGTACTTTCAGATTTCGGAACAACCACCTGTGTGCAGAGAAAAGTTGTCATTTGTGCTGGGGGAATTTATGGATTCATTGTTGTGCACGGACTATACCCCGGACTATACGTACAATAGACAAAAGTGTCTCCGTGCACGCGGGCGAGCCCCCTTGAGTTGCTGTGGTGGTCAAAGATTTCCCGGCCAGCAGATCAGGGGGTTGTACTCGGCTTTGGTGTTGGCCGAAAACAAGGGGGAAAATTATAGCGAGGGTGAGGGAGGACGTGGCTTCCGTCGCTACAACGAACCACTGCTGTAGATTAGATCATTTTTTTTTTTTTTTGGTTCTTCACTTCAAATCAGCTCTCACAGCAGCACTACTAGTGCCGTGTATTTCAACCCGTGGTCACACAGAAGAGCCTCTCTCTACCCTCCCCTCCTGCGGTACTTCGCCTTCAATTTTTAATGCGAGAAGAGTTCAGCACTCTCTTCCCTCTGTGTACACACGAACTAGCGCTATCCACTTGGCCAGGAGCGGAAGCGAGAGAAAAACTCACTTTGCAAGAAAAGCTCGCCTACGCCGGGATTCGAACCCCTGACCTGACCTCTAGAAGGTTACGAGGCGGCTACCAACTAGACCACCGGGGCGACCACATCTTACTGCTGTGCATAAAGCGACAAGCAGCTGCGCTTCTCTCAGTGGCGTCGCATTCCGGAAGGCTGCTCACAACCACTAGGTGAGGCGTACTTCGATGGACAGGGCGATGCACTGCTGGTGGCGCGGCACAACAAGCTGTCGCAATCGCCATCAGTAAATAACAAGGCGGACGGCTTGGTTGCTGGAAGCCACACTTGTGTTCCACCGTTGTGTGCATGCAGCGGCCATTCCGGAACCAAGTAAAAGGGCCTTGCCTTTGCTGTGCGGAGTGGCGGGGGTGAGTGTACCCAGGAGTACGTGTTGGTCTCTAGGGTAGCTTTGGGCTTCAGCCGTCGCCATGTGGTACCAGCACGACACATAGGAGAGCGGGAGAGCCATACTGTAGCGGGTCTATACTTTTTTTGTGGCTCTTGTTGGGATGTAGACTAGAGCTCGAGGCTCTGAGCTGTTGGGATGTAGAGGATGTAGAGCTCAGGCTCTGAGCTGTTGGGACTACAAGAGGATGTAGAGCTCGAGGCTCTAACCTGTGGGGATGTAGAGGATGTAGAGCTCGAGGCTCTAACCTGTTGGGATTGAGTAGACAGATTGAAGGTTAGAGCCTCGAGCTAACCTGTTGAGCCTCGAGCTAACCTGTCTACATCCCAACAGCTCTTTCTTGGGTCGCTGTTTTGCTGTGTCCATGGAATGGCGGGACTGTGACGTGTGGACATCGATTCGCGCACAGCTGTGTGGCGTGTGTCTCTCCCACCGGCACGCTGCGTGGCTACTACTGCAGGCCGCCTCGTGGTGTTCGCCCTCTACACCACCGCTTGTCGTGGCTGACTCTCACATGCAGCAGACATGATCAACTTGCGAACCATTTCTTCCATGACGTGCTGCGGACTGCTGTATGTAGCGGCCTCGACATATTTTTGTGCAACTGCAACTGGAATGATATTATTTAGTTACAGTATTTGTGTTCCGAGACCGACAGACTGCTCTCTCTATCTCCCTCTCTCCCTCTCCTCTCTCCTCGCTCTCCTCGCTTTTGCAGCAAACATCACCGCCGTCACAACAGCAAAGACACAGCACACAGTCATAACAACGCTGCCACCACCGCCAGCCCCCAACCAAGCTTTCGGGCACTGCCCGAACGATTTTTTTGTTGTGCTACGTGCGTATCAACGCGTACGTGAGGTTGCTGCATGCTGCTACACCCTCGCTTTTCCCCTCTGCCCTCCTCTCTCGTCGTGCTCCTTTTTCTTTCTCTCTTTTTCTCTGGTGCCGCCATCGCACGCAAGCACAGACGAACTAACGAACAGACACAATCCACAAGGCTCGCCGCATAGCTTATAGGCTGCCCCGTTATTTTTTGGGGGGAGGGCGGCCCTTCCTAGTCGGCATGGCGCGGAGGCTGGAGGTTGTTGCCGTTGATGCACAGGGTGTACGTATATGCCTGTCTGCCTGTTTTTTTCAACTGCTGATGTCTGCCTGTCTTTTCTAACCCCTCTCTATTCTTCTCTTTGGGACAAAAAAAAGAGAAGAAGGACCACCGGTTTGTCATCATCAACGTGCCCGCGTGCCAACATACAGAGTATCAGCTAGCTAGCGTGGGTTGGGGGCGTTCTTGGCAGAGACGATCGCGCCTTGTCCGCTATTCGTTTACTACGTTAGGGTGTGCGTGTTCGTATCACCTTGAAAAAAGGTGCTCTAATTTCGCATGTTGCTTGTTTGCGGTTGATCAAATATTTGGCTGCACCACAACGGCAGCCCACTTGCCCACCACCCTTTGTCCGAGGATGTATTGGCGCAGGCTAACAGTCCTGTGTTTTTATCCTGTGAAGATCTATTCTCGAGTTTTATATCACGGGAGTTTTTCAGCAAAAATGTACAAAGCAGCGAAAGGCCCAAAGAAGTCCTGCCGGTCCATGAATCGAGTTTTAAATAACTCTAAAGGGTCAGCTCTGTGCAACCTGCGTGTTTGCATTAAAATTACTGTTCTGCTTTTCCAACTGTCGAAGCGTAATCAAACCAACTGATTGTTGTTATCTTCACACCGTTCCGATCTCTCTAGACAAGCAGTACCCTCCCCCTGCCTGAATGGCCTTGCAAAATATCGCAGGATAGTCTACAACAGTGCCTGAGGAGCGCGCGAGCTATAGCGGGACCATGCAGGAGGTCGGCGGGGATGAGGGGTGCGAAGGGGCGGACGACTATGAAAACAACGGCGGTAGAGTCGCTTCGGATCGCAAAGTGGCCGAGAGAGGCAATATCTTTCTGAGCGGTGTAGTAGAGGCCGAAAACGGCGCACATGATGAGGAATATTCCTCAAGAAGTAACGGCTTTTTCGAGGAGAACGGAAGGCGTGGAGATGATGCACGAGTCTCGGGCAAGGGGGTTCTGCTGCTAGGGCTCGTCGTCCTTGCCACCATGGCGCTCTGCATGTCGTGGGTCGGAGGTGAGGACGTGCTATGTAGTGCACCGGGGATGGATACAAAAGTATGTTGTGAAACGGCTTCAGAAAGCGCGCAAACACAACAAGTAGGATACCGTTCTCGCGCACGTACCGGCCCGACGCGATCCTCATCGACTGTTCCTACGGGCCGATTCATGTGATCGATAGAGACTGAACCACTAGACTGCTCATCACGGATTTGTGGTCGAAGGTGCAGTTTAAGTAGTCTACTGGTTTACCCTGGTGTAAATGACTAGTGTTCGTCAGTTGTCTGATGGTTTTGTCTGACTATAGTCTAAGGCCTACCTAATGGTTTAGCCTTTATCGATCAATCATCATGCACTCCAAGAAGAAGGTGGTTGTAAGCCAGTCGTGTCAGTGCTTGGACAGGCGACAAACACTCGCGCAAATTTTGGACAAACTTGGGAAAAATGTCCGAAGAAGTTGAGCATAGCAGCCGGCGCTAAATAATTGATATATTGAATGCGTTTTGCCGGATGTTTCGGGTTTGGCGGTGAAACCGGTGCCGTGTCGTCGACAGGTGGCGGGAAAACCCAACGAAATACGGCTGAACACGGCATAGGAGACGATCGCGATCTCATGGAACTCGACGAGATCAACTTGGGCACGAGGGGGGAGGATCGGGGGGGCAAGCGCCGATTACCCATCGCACCCTTCAGCTCCAGCTGCCCTTACGCCATCCTTGCAGAAGAGGAAGGGCATGAGAGAAGCGACCGCGGCGGTGACGGCGGGAATACTTCCGCGCCCGGAAACGTCGTTGTCGTCACGGACTTCAACTACTGCCGCTTGGGCAACCGTTTCCTTTCCATGGGCCGGAGCCTGAGTCTAGGGTACTGCTGCAAATCTAGGCTGGTAAGTCGCCCATCTTTTAGCCATGAACTGCACCGTGTTCCGTGCGTAGGGCAGGTGCTTTGGTCCTCCTGTAGACTTCTGGTACGGACGGTAAGATCGGGCACACGTTGGTCTTGGTGGTTTACGCTACTGTGAGCGAACAACGCCGCGCGCTACAGGAAACAAAACGAAGACACTCGATATTTCTGCTACGTTGGCCAACAACGGCCGATGTTTCATGGGCTCAGCACGCTGGGTTCGGACGTGCAGGTGTTTTCGGCCTACCACCGCACCGGTTGAGATGTCACCCTTCCCTAAACACAGCTTTCCCAGAGGAAAACACTTCGTGCTTTGACGTGTGTGTGGGGTAGTCGGAGGCGCAAGTACCGATACACTAGGTTGCATAAGATTCCACACCCCGTGGGCTTACTTTTTCAGCCCGGTTGCCTTGGAGCGCAGATAGTGAAGGTGCCGAAAAATGGCAGCGTTGGAACCGACTCGTGGAGAGGCTTTCCGAAGACGCATTGCTTGTTTTATTTATGCTCCGCATTGTGGAGTACATCGAGCTTTGAAAATCGGTCCCAGGGTGTGTGTTATCTTGTGCAACCTACGGTGAGGCTTGAAGAATGTATTTGATAGGGAATACCCGCACCGTCAGGTATCCGTAAAAGGCGATACATGCTACCCAATTGTCGGGTAGGGCATGGGATTTTGCGCCAAAAATCCCCAAACCTTGGTGAGGGTATGGATTATCGTACCAAAGTTCGGAAAGCCTCGGATACCCGGCTGTTGCATACAGTCCAGGTCTGTTACAGGATTTGGACCGTTGGGCCAAGATACCACCTGGGCGAGCATATGTGGTAGAAATACACCGATGACCTGCCTAGATCCCTAGTATTCCGAGGCTAAGAGGTAGAATAGGTTATGCGTTCCCTCCTGATCAGCGTTGCCTAGGAATGACATATAGCGAGCGGCCAAGGGAGAAAGGAAGGACAAGGAAGAAATCGGACTGAAACAGAGAAGCTGACCTACACACAGTGGTCGGATCAGCTCCACACTTCACAACATCATCACACTTGGCGTGTCTGCAGGCCGGTCGACCCTGGGGCATGTGGTGTCGTACAAAATTTACCAAGCCCCTTGGGTAGGGGACGGGCAACACCCGAGTGCAATACCCGGATACCCGGGTTTTCCATACAATGGTGGTCCCTACATACATCGGTCCCGACTATTGCGGCGTCCCGATATTCACCGCGGTTGTTTTTGTTTGCCACTTCACCGCGATATGTCGGGGACTTCACTGCGGTACCCTACCATACCTATCCTTGTCAGCTTTTCACGAGCGCATGGTATCAAAACGCCGCAGGTGTCGCTGCCGCCAAAGGACGACCAGCTCGCCCCCGGTCGTTTCAACGACGGCACTCCTGGGCCTAGGAACTTTGACTTTTCAAGCGCGCCGGACGTGGAAGGTTTCGACTCTTCCAGCTGCCCGCCTGAGATCAAGTGGGGCGGAACACAGGCATTCCACCTAGAAGGATGTGAGTCGATAGCCTAGAGTGATGGGTTTTGGTGTGTTCCACGAAGATAATACGCGTTCTACCAGCTGCGAGGACGAGAGAGAACGGATATTGTGATGGGTGTTGGTGTCTTTCAAGATGACAGATGCGTTTTATCTGTGACCCAAAACAGTAGTGGATGGTTTTGTTGTCTTCACGAGAGAAAAACCTCGTTCTACCTGTGAGCCAATAGCAGGAATTGAGTTGTGGGGTGCTTTCACGGGACCGTTGATTAGTGGATGCCTTCAAGGGCGGGGTGGGTAGGGTATGCAAAAATCGGGTATCGGGTTACTGCACTCGGGTTGCCCGTGTACCCGAGACTCGGGCAACGTTGGTACAGTAGAGGTCCCTGTTTAAGGCCGCATAGTGTGGAAGGTACAAACCGGCCTTAAACAGGGCACCCGGCCTTACTGGAAACGGCCCTTGTTTAAGGCCGGTACAGGCCTTATACAGGATTATGAATTCCTCAATAAGGCCGGTAACCGGCTATATTGAGGAATAGTGCAGCGCACTCAAGGCTATGCGGAAAGCGGGCCGGTTCAAACATGTCTGAAAGCCAGCAGGGGTGTATATCACTCACTCACAGTGCCACAGCGCCGCGTTGGATGTGCACCACATGGCACTGCTACGTATGTATGTACTGAATGACGACACAGCGTGTCAAATGATGTTTGCACGTTTCGAAATGTTATTACCCGCCAATCTGTAATAACAACAGAAATTACCAAGTGCCTCCCTCTTGGTGACTACCCTACTGTACATTACTGTAACTGGTCAACATATATGTCGTGGTCCAAGACTGGTTGGGTCGGTAGGGGTACGCTAGGCTGTTGTGTGTTGTGTGTGTGGAGATGTCGAGAGCTGCTGTGTTGTGGCTTGAAAATAATGCGGCCGAACCTGCGTGCGTCACCCCAAAACCGGCCTTAAATAGGGTGGGAGGAGGTTCCAACAGGCCTTAAATAGGGACCATCCCTTTTTAAGGCCTGTGCGGCCTTAAAAAGGAAGGCATTTGGGGCAGGCGATTTCACCGGCCTTAAACAGGGCCACCGGCCTTAAATTTCCGGCCTTAAACAGGGACCTCTAGTGTAGGACATTCCATACCCTACCCAAAACTGGGTAACATTAACATATTTAGCCTGTGAAATCTACCCGAGGGTACGGGCATTCCTTACCAAACCTGCCCCTGGATGGTTTTGGTGTGTGTTTTCTTCACGGAGACAGATGTGTGCTGCAGTCAGGGGCCCTCAAGGGTGCGGGTATCGATGTGCCAAGCTCCTTTACCCGCACAATCGCGGGCACCCACACCATTCAATGTATTTCCCGTAAATCATCTTGATTGTTCCATCTGTGGGAGCCTGTTTCACCCCATTCTACCGGGCACCCGAACTGTATTTCCCACACTGCAGAGGGCCCCGACTGTAGATGGTTTTGGTATGCCTCACGGCGACCAACGCGTTTTACCTGTGGATAGTTTTTGTGTGCTCCTCGGAGACAAGCTCGGTTCTTCTCGCGTGCGGGGCTTATGCACTTGCGACGTAAACAATATAAATGACGGGTGGTGGAGGAAGGCACGAAAACACGGCATCGTGAATGGTGCTGCGGTGGTGTATGCATCCATGATACCAGACGAGAGGGTGGCAGGACTTGAGGGTGCGTACCAGCATGATTGCGGACCACCGAATTACACAAAACGCTATGATATCGTCGGCAAGCAGGGCGCTCCACACTGGAGCAGGCGTCCTGCTTCAGAAGAGTTTGTCATGCTTTCCCCGCCGTATCAACACACTGGCAGAGAAACGCTAGGTGCTCCTGTACGCCCAAAATGAACTATCATGCAGCGAGAAACCCCCCATGTGTCAGAAATATTACACCGACCACGCAGTTCCTCCGTGGCGGCGGCCACCAAGCCTTTACTCGTGAACCAAGGCCCGTGATTTGAAGCGGGATGTCACGCTTATCGATGAACGCCGCCACCAATTCGTGACTCCTCTCGCTTCGGCGTCAGCAGAGGAGGACGAGGAGCAACGGGTTTCTGCTTCACGAATTCTGTAACTTCGCGGCAACTATATTGAGAACGCATGCCCATCTTTCGTATCGACCTGCTGCCAATCGAAGCTGTTTCGACCAAACTCGTTGTTGCCCACCCTCCCTGGATGCCATCGATTTTAGCGTACCGAACGGACCCACAGTTGTTAACAAGAAATATTTCACTAAGAAACAGACGCTCAGATTATCACGAACAAAAAAAAGTTAGACTAACCTCTACAATAGCAACAACCTGTGCTCGACAAAGGTGACAAAAAATGAACTCAAGCCTGGACCCGATTGGCTGCTGAAATGGTCGCAACACACAGTAGTGTTCCAACGTCTGTGTTTTGCCTTTTTTTTTATATTTTCAGTTTCGGGGACGCAATTTATTGACCTGATATTATCTCCGTGTTCGTTCTGTTCCAGTACGCGATGAAGGCCACCCGTACTACACCCCGGGGCTGTTCACGTGCATCAAGGAGCTCCCCTGGATAATAGGGTGCGAAGCGGCCTATTTCTTCCCGACAGACATGGCCGTTCCAATGTGTCCATTGGACGAAACGGCCGAAGGAGGCAACAAAAACGTCAGAGATATATCGGAGAAACCAAAGGATGATGCGCCCGGGATCCAGTTGGATTGGGAAGAGAGTGGGCACGGGCGGGAGGCTACAGAACAGGAGGAGGAGGAGGAGGAGGAGGAGGAAGAGGAAGGATCTGCTGGAAACTTGGTGATGCACGTGAGGTCGGGAGACATTTTCGTTAGCCCTGCGCATCCGGGCTACGGCCAGGTAACAGGAGGTTGGTTGTTCTAAATAGTCTCAGAAGGGGATTCGATAGATGGTTGTAGGGGGGCCTTGACCGCTGTTGTGAATGCGATGTCGATGTGTACTCTCGGGCGGTGAGTTCCGCTGTATTTGTCGCTTACATTGGAGTATCATAGGCTCATTTCTACTCATAGAGCATGCCGCGAGTTCCGCTGTGGTGAGTCGTTAATATTGGAGTATCATTGTTGAACAGGGATAAGTAGGGCCCATCTCTATCCACAGAGTAGCGTCTAGAACGTATTCAATTCCCATAGATACATTTGAAGCGTGTGTCGTCCTTCCCATCTCCCTTCTTATATCTTTACTGTTTCAGTGCTTCGAAGGCACAGCATATTATATCCTTATCCTCCTGTGCAATCCGTCCCATGTTCCTTCGCGTGTTGATCCAAAGCCGGCTTTTTTTGTGCAATCCTCTCCATCTCCCTTCGCGTGTTGATCCAAAGCCGCCTTTTTTGTACAATCCTTCACATCTTCCTTCTTGTGGTTTTCTATGATATTCCTCTTCTTCGAAGGTATATCCCCATTTTTGTGTCATCCTTCCCATCTCCCTTCTTGTGTTGTCGCTATCACAATACTTCGATGGTACAGGATATCCGTACTTCTTTGTGCATTCCTTCCCGTCTTCCTTCGCGTGTTGATCCAACAGCCGCCCTTGCAGTACTACGTGCGAGCAATGTCCTTCCCATCTTCTTCGTTTGCATGTGGATCTATAGCCACCACTGCTGTACTACGTGCGAGCCATACAAGACCAGGAGTGGGACCGCTGTCATCTTTCACATCTTCCCTCTTGTGTTTTCACTATCACCATACTTCGAAGGTACAGGATATCCTTACTTGTTTAGCAATCCTTCCCGTCTTCCTTCGCGTGCTGCTCCATAAGCCACCATTGCAGTACTACGTGCAAGCCATACAAGACCAGCAGTGGGATCGCGTCGACGTCGTCACCAACGGCATCGAAGATAAAAACCATGCCATCAACCCCATCGTGCCGGCGCTCGAAGCCAAAGTGGCAAAGGGTCAACTCCCCGGGAACATCCACTTCCACAAGGTGCGTTGACGGGTCCAGACGGTTACAGTCAACCCCGCTTCATCGTTTTGTTAATGACGTTTGGAAAGTGGATGGTGGTCCCGAGGGAGGGCTGGGTGCTTGAGGGCGAGGAGGAGGGGCAGGGACGCACAAGCGGTTTGACGGGTCTTGATGTAGTGATACGCGTATTTTTGCTTGAACGTGTCTGTTAGATTCCGGGGGCGCCTCTACATTGTATATCTGCGGCTCACCCTGCTTCTGAGGTTTTCGGTTTCCTTGTTTCCTTAAAGCGGGGGTTGACTTTGGACGAGTGCCTTGAAAGCGGGGACGACCGTTACCAGGAGTACAAGGACGCGGAAGGCATGCATAGGACCGCCTACGCGAGAAGATAAGAACAGGGAGGGGGTACGCAGACCCTATCCCTAACCGTAGCCCTATTTCCCCCAATTGCATGCTTTATTCGACATGTTTACTCTAATGGACAAACCTTCGAAGGCTACTGCATGTATGCTAAACACGCGGAAGGCGAAGTGTGCCCAGTCATCATTTTGCCATGATGCCTATATACTCGTGGGAGATCTGACCAACGACAAGGGTGTTGACGTTGAATGTCTCGATAGTGAATGGTCCTTCCTACGTGTTACGGGGTACCTTCATCCTGTTTGCTCTCTTCGTCAGGTGTTCGTGATTGGTGTAGCTTGTGCACGCATACCCCCCCCCTCCACCGCGGAAAGGCGTACCCCTTGATTTGTTCGGCTATGACGACCTCGCCATTGCTATCCATGGTACTTTGCAGTTGGACCGATCCACATTCGCTTCAGGGCAGCTTGTCAATGCCCTTTCGTGTTGCTGTACCACTTCCAGCTCAGAGCATCCTCCGTCCACATGTGCAGTTAGCGCCAGCGATTGAGAAATATACCTTGAAGAAACAAAGGCCCACATGTCGGCGAAAATCAGGAAAAGGGACTAAAAAACACACCTCAGCCGTGGATCCTACACTAAAATCGACCATATAATAGTGACCTACCGGACAAAAAACGAAATTGAGCCTCGACCCCAAAACGACGTTTCTTACACGCGGGCCCCGACTGTATGAGAACATTGTTTGCCTTACCGTCGAGGTTGCTAAGCCTGATGATACACCTTCGTGTCTACATTCTACAGAACAGGCCCGGAGACAAGAAACGTCGAAATCGGGTCGAGGCTCAATTTCATATTTGATGGCCAACGCTGTCGAGGAGAGTTGTTTTTGTAGAGTTTAGCGTGAGGATCGGCGGCGGAAAATGTGTGGTTCTTTTTTGCGCAATTTTCAAATTTTTCGTGAAAGGTTGAGCCTCTGCTTCGTAGCGAAACATTTCTTAACCTCGGGTGTACCTTCGTTTTTACCGTGTGTTGGGCGTGTCAATGCGGCTGCCAGAACCGCACGATGGAGGAGGATCTCCTGTCCATGATCTGCGCGGACGGTTTCGTGGCGGCGAGATCGACCTTGGGCCGTGTCGTTTCGCACCTCTCCTCGGCCAAGCGGATGTACTTTCCCACGTCGTGTAACGAAGAGCTCAAGAATCTTGGCACCGAGGGACCTGGGACACAGGTTAGTCGCACAGTTGGGGTCCCCAATAAAGGCGGTAGGTAGTGAGGCAGCTGATCATGACCGCCTTATATCGGGCACCCACCTTGTTCAATATGTAAAAACCAACCTGCTTATTCAGTCAACGCCAGCCGGCCAATTTCACCCACCTTATATTGGGCGGCCGCCTTATCAGTCTTTTTCGGGGCCCCCCACGGCACATGTATTTTGGAGAGGTGGGGATGGCGTAGGCGCGAAGGGAGCTTGTAGGTGTGGCGCCCGGGGGCGATGAAAACCCCGACTCTTGCCGTATCTCTCTCGTTGTCTTTCAGTCTGTCAGCCAGTCTTGTCTGCCTGCGTGTGTGTCTGCGTGTCTCGAACAATGAAGGACGAATTGCGGTGGACGATTGCACAAAGAAGGGCGGGGGAAAAGTGCTGTTCCGATTATCTCCTCCGCTCGTTCTTTACCCCGCGGGCTTACCGTTTCGTTTATCTTTCCCTCTGTTCTTCCGGAAGCTTTCGGCTCGTCTTGTACAATATCGGATCCGTGCTTCTTGACAAACTTCCTGACAGTAAAAAAGGTTACTACATGTACGATTTTACCCCGTTGTACATGTAGGTAAAAAAAATGGTATTTTCTCGCTGTTTTGCCTCTTCCCTTGATCCTGACAGAAAATTGATGACTGCGGTTTGACGCGCGCTTGAAGGCCTGACCTTGCTTGTGGTCGCTGTTCTTTATACCTTCCCGTGCTGTTGTTTATCATTTCCTCCCTTGAAACGCTGAAGGTGTTTGGCATGGCTTCGTGGGACCACGAGTATACCGTGTTCCGGCGCTGGAACAACACGGCCGATCAGATAGCGGAGATGATGACCGCCGACGTCGGTGGCTTCGAGCAGTGCACCGCCAGCAGACCATAGGACCGCACAATTGATGATCCCTCCGGAGTGGGCTGCGGGTCATGAAGGGGTGATGCTGAGGGGTGGTGCTACAGATGGAAATAAAAGCAAAGCAGCAGCAGGGGGATTAACCCACAGCTGGCTGCTGCCAGCTGTGTCGTTTCCCAAGCTCGAACAGCCCACACAGCTGACGTGCTTTTGACTCGACGATCCCGACGACCCTCGACGATCCAAGAAGAACAGTTAACCACCGTACAAGTTTTTAATAGTCGTATTCGATAGAGAAAGATGTAGAGGACCATGTAAAGGTCCACAATTTGTTTTTTGCTGCGGACAGGAGTTGTGAAAAGTCAGCTTGCCTACCTAGACGCCTACCTAGACGTGGTAGATTTTACCATCGTCAGATTTTTCTATTTGGGTAGTGATGAGCCCGGAAGGCGTCCGCACCAATTGGACCGGTACGAAGGTCACGGTTGCCGCCGTGGCATGGGCGTTGTTTGGTTTCGGGGCTTGAGCCAAGTTTTGAAGCGTCGGTTGTGTCTCTATCGTGGGGAACTATTGCGCCTCGCCTTGATGTCGTAGCAGGCGTCCACAAAGTTCCACATTACACAACACGTGTTTTGTGAATGTGCTTCCTTAAGGATCACCCTGATGTTCCCCTGCCCTTGCCATGTAGCTCGCCGCCGCTATATTGTGTCACAGAGTCCGGACAGTACTGTTCAAGAGCCCCCCCGAAAGGCTCATGGCATCTGGTTTGCGCTGGAATAGTTGTATCGACATACAGTGCCGGTCCGCTCGTGCGAGACAACGGTTCCGGACGAGGCTCGACACCTTTGATAAGAAGCAGACAGGGAAGCCCTGTGTGAGTCAATAATGATGAGCTATGATGTAGAGAGAAGTTGTGTATACTCTAGGGACTACAACATCTGTTTGTCGTTTGGAAATGTCCAACATCACAGCAAAAAGCGTGTGTAGCGGCAGGAGGCGCTACGGTCTGATTCTAGCATAGGAACAAATCTGTCAGGGCAATCGTTACGTTTTCTTGTACAGCGTGAGTGTACATGTGCTGTAGTGGTGCGATGCTCCACCCGGAGTTTTTCCTTTTTGCGCGGCGGTACAACGTGGCGACACCAGGAATACGTGCATCTGTTGGTCGGCAGCATCATGTGACAGGTGCACGACACGCGCAAGGTAGTCCGTAACGCGTTCAAGTGTATGATGATTTGTCGTCGCAAGAGGTACCCCATGCAGTCATGGTCGTCGCGGTAGCAAACGTTCATGGGTGATCGTTGTCTGGTCCATACTGCTGTACCCCAAAAACAAGTTTCGAGCTACCGAATATTCAATGTTACAGAGGTACCATTTATTTACTTTTTCCCATAATATAAGTAACCAAGTGTAGCAGTAAAGAAATGTGTCACGACACCACGCGACCATCCTGTGAGAACTGTAGATAACATGATTGATTCTCATCGTAACCATCAAATAAGAAAAAGTTATCTCTTTCAGGCATTATTGTCGATCAAGCGCGCCTCTACACCGAATACATGCAATGCCAAGATCAACTCGTTGGCCCTCATTTAGACTACTGCTGTGGAAAAAAATGTTCATCCAGATTGAGGCCGTGGGGAGGAACTTTTGCGACACCACGATATCCAGAGAGCTCTACAGTAGAAGAAGAGCACATCGGCAACCACGCAACGTTGGCGAGAAACCACCCCCCCTGTCTTACACTGTCCAGGCTGTACCTTGCCTCAGACAGAGTTCGGAACACCCACAAGCTCAATGGCAGTATGCCATAGGAAACGGCAAGCTTGAAACCAAAACTGCGCTCACTCACGATTGATTTCGACGCTCGACGCGTTGAAGCTACATATCCACGAAAGCAAGAGCGGATTGAATGAAACCAAAAAACACCCCCCACCGACGGCTGTTGGTACAACAAAAGGGACGCTCAGTTCACAACGTATTCCTGCAGGTGAAGGGAGGGCATCATGGAGGTGTTTAATACTCAGTCATTAGTACTTGCTGCTGCAAACAACAGTTCGTACGTAACCACCTAACTAAGGAGTATAACCGGAAAAGTCTTCGGTGTGTTGATTCAGTAATCGGATCATTGTAACATCTACGACTTAAAGCTTGGACCATACAAGTAGTTGCATCGAACCATTGTCCTAAAGGCTATTCTTAAAAACCTGGCTACAGGTCGGCCTAACCGCCTGATACCGTAATCGGTACGTTGCAATAGCCCGAATATGTCTTCTTCTGGATGAGGATTGATGGCTCCCCCCCGTGGTGCTCGCCCCCATTTTCTCTCTCTCTCTATCTCTCTTATATAGATATATATATCTTTCTCTCTCTCTATCTATCTATCTATCTCTCTCCCCTCTCTCCCTTCTCTCTCTATCTCTTTCTCTCGCTCTTCCTACATCTACCAAGGCCCTTGGCATCTTCAAGGCCCTTCGAGGCTTTTACCCTTCGGCCAAGTAAGTTCCACATCAAATCATCATCTTTTGTCTGGTCTACAACACAAATGTACTTTACAGTCACCCTGTGAGTCTCCTGCACATTGATACTACAATATGTACTCGGCGGCCGTCGCGAGGGATACTCCTATCACAAGGTTGCATCCCAACATGTTAAAATCCTGCTTCTAAGGTTCTACACCATAATAAGGTCATCGAGCCAGTTCCAACAGGGTTAACTACGGTCCAATTGGGAACGTCTAGACACAAAGTCTCTACTTTGACCGTGGAAGAGGCGGACTAGCAAGCTTCTTCGGCTAACGAGGAACACAAAATGCGTAGATCGAGTGAACACGTCAGTTTGTTCGGTCCAAGCATACGACAAGAAACGCTTCTACACACAGACGAGGTGACATATCTTTGAACACCAACGCCCCCTCAACCCACCGCTCCCCGCCCGAAACGTTTGTCTCTCAGAACCACAACACAACACATATTCTTCTGTGCACACGGCAACACGGCCTACAAGTTCTATTTTCCCGAAAGCAGATCCCGCACAACCGGAGGCATACTTCGAGAGCGTTCATAGCAGATTACGTCCGTCATGAGTCACACGTGCTAAGGAAGGTGGCCATACCACTTCGGCCAGGGATTGCTCGAAACCACGCCCGAACGATAGCTTCTTCAGGGAGGGCGGCCACTTGACTCCGACAATGGATTGGTTGAATTCGTGCCCAAACAATAGCTCTTTCAGAGAGATCGGCCACACGACATTGGCGATAGACTGATTAAAGGAATGTCCAAGCGATACCTGCTGCAGGGAGACCGGCCACGTGGCTCCGAAGATAGGTTGGTTGAAGGAATCTCCAAGCGATAGCTGCTGCACGGAGGCCGGCCACGTGACTCCGACGATGGGCTGGTTGAATGAATATCCAAATGATAACTGATTCAGGGAAGTCGGCCACGTGGCTCCGACGATAGGCTGGTTGAAGTACCAACAAAAGGATAGCTGCTGCAAGGAGGCCGGCCACACGACGTCTGCGATAGGCTGGTTGAAGTACCAACCAAAGGATAGCTGCTGCAGGGAGGCCGTCCATACGACTCCAACGATAGGCTGGTCGAAGTTTTCACCAAACGATAGCTGCTTTAGGGAAGCTGACCACACGACGTCAATGGCGGACTGGTTGAAGGAATCTCCAAGCGATAGCTGCTGCAGGGAGACCGGCCACGAAGCTCCGACGATGGGCTGGTTGAATGAATCCCCAAACGATAGCTTCTTCAGGAAGGGCGGCCACGTGGCTCCGACGATAGGCTGGTTGAAGGACCAACCAAACGATAGCTGCTGCAGGGAGGCCGACCACGCGACGTCGACAATGGGCTGGTTGAAGTTCCAACCAAAGGATAGCTGCTGCAGGGAGACAGGCCACACGCCCTCGTCAATGGGCTGGTTAAAATTATCCCAAAACCATAGCTTCTGCAGCGATGATGGCCACACAACATCGGCAAGGGGCTGGTTGAATATTCCCCCCAACGACAGCTCCCGCAGCGAGGCCGGCCACTCGACGTCGGCGATAGGCTGATTAAAAGAATGTCCAAGCGAAAGCTGCTGCAGGGATGCCGGCCACATGACTGTGACAATGGATTGGTTGAAGCGACAGCCGAACGATAGCTGCTGCAGGGAGGGCGACCACGTGGCTCCCACGATGGGCCGGTTGAATGAATCTCCAAACGATAGCTGTGTCAGCGAGGCCGGCCACGTGACTCCGACGATAGGCTGGTTGAAGTCGTTGCCAAAGGATAGCTGCTGAAGGGAGGTCGGCCAAATGACTGCCACAATGGATTGGTTGAAGTGATAGCCGAACGATAGCTGCTGCAGGGAGGGCGACCACGTGGCTCCGACAATCGGCTGGTTGAATGAATCCTCAAACGATAGCTGCTTCAGGAAGGCCGGCCACGTGGCTCCGACGATAGGCTGGTTGAAGGACCAACCAAACGATAGCTGCTCCAGGGAGGCTGGCCATACGACGTCGGCGATGGGCTGGTTGAAGTACCAACCAAAGGATAGCCGTTGCAGTGAGACCGGCCACACAACCCCGACAATATGCTGGTTGAATTCATTCCCAAACGATAGCTGCTTCATGGAGGCCGGCCAAACCACATCGAGGAGACTTCCAGACCAATCCACCCACCAGCATCGTAACGGTGGCTGCAGCTCAAGTCCAGCTCTCTGTGGCAAGGGGTTCAGCTCCCACGTCCAGCTAAAAGCCTTCACAGCCGGCACGCGACTCGAGATGCTAACCTCTGGGCCGCGCTGGCTGGGCGCGGTGCATAATGTGCGAGGTGACAACAAGCTAGGTGGTGTACGTTGATTGACGAGCACATTAAATGTCTGGGCACTTCTGCACGCCCCACAGAGCTCCAACGACACAAGCTGTAGCTCCAACGTAGACACATACCACCGCTGTTCTTGTTCATCGCAAACCTGGTTCAAAGCCACTGTGAAGGCGTCCAGGCACTCGCTCCTTCCTGAGACAGCGGACCAATGGGATACACGTG